TTAGGGTTGTTAACCGGAGGATTTCGTGCAATTCCGGAAAAACAACATTCTTTCGTAAGGAGATTGAGAACGAGGAATTACATTTTTTCGTACCGAATGTTACAAAACATTTAAAATCGCCGATGTTCATTTCGCAAAATTCACTTCCGAAATTTAGCATTTCGCAAGTTGACATACGAAACAAAACTATTTTGCAACATACGAAAGTACGGTTTCGTAAGTCGCACTTGCGAAACAAACATTGTCGCTAATCGACGTTTTGAAGTCTATAAAAAAATTTTGTTTGCCAGACTGATTTTAATTGTAAAAATTAACATCTTTAAATCCCAAAATGTTTATAATGAATTTTTATTTTCAGTATAATAACATATTAAATTTTTTTGGTTTTATTTTTAAAAATATTGATAAAAAATAAAATTTCTTTCGAAACGAAAGTATTTCGGATCACAACATACGAAAGAATTCTTAACGGAAATAAACTTACGAAACGTGCCATAATAAATATATATAACGATTTTTTTTGAATTCATTACGTATATTAAAAATAAGAATGATGGGTAGGAATATTCATGTTTTTTTTTTTTTAAAGCATATGAAATTTTCGAAACAGGTTCGAATATGCTTAAGCAAATAGTAAAAAGAGGCTCAAAAATATGCTTTAGCTTAAGCATATTTCTGATAAAATATACCTATTTCAATAATTTCTAAAAGTGTGCACGTTACTAAAGTTCTAGCAGATTTTAAAGGTATTTAGAGTCCTGTTTGAATACGCTGTTCGAAGTATAGATCTTAGAAAATATTTTTTTTTAATTTTAATAAGATATAAATTTGAGTATAAGATTGTATAGTTCAATCAGTTAGATACGTGATAATTCGCCGCAGAGATCCGGGTTCGCATCCCGCAGCCATTGTAACTTTTGATCATCAAACTCTTTTTACTTAAGATAGCATTTTTTGACCTCCATGTTCTATATTACAGATCTTTCGTCACCTTCACAATAGTGACAACCTCTCTTCTGTTAGTTATTCTTTTAAGATTGAGTTCATTGTGCTTAATTCAACACGTTTCCCTTGCTTTACCAAGTTCTACCTAAATTATGACGAAATGTACGTAAAACAACTTTTTCAAATAATATAAATCATTTTGCTTTAAATCTTTTGCTTTTTGTACTAGACATCTGTCCTAAATACTTAGTAATAATTTCTAGCTAACTCTGAGTCTAATATAACCATTTCTGAATATAATTTCCCTGAGGCTCCTACAGCCTATTGTGTTCCATTAAAAGTAACTAGTTTTTGAGTCCAGATATTAATTATAAGCATCTAATTGTTCACATTACTATTCATTTTCCTGATATATAGAATCCTATTTGCATACGATCTCTTTCTGTAAATTCTGCTTTATATAGTTTCTTGATTATATATTAAATAAATATTACTATTCACTTAGTTGAATGAACGTATAGCTCATTCAGTTAAGACATTATGCCGCGTAGACCCAGGTTCACATCCCGCTGTTTCACATATATTTCTTCTCTTTTTACTCTTTCTGATATCATTTACCTTTAGAGAGATCTCTCGTTCTTTATAATAAAGTATTTAATTGTTTATCACACATCCTCTTTATACTTTTTGAAAAGAAAGGCATACTGTTTATCTGTTCATCGAGAGTCCAACTTAAGGGGATTTTACTGTATATATATGTATATATGAATATATATATATATATATATATATATATATATATATATATATATATACATATATATAAAGTAAAATCCCGTTAAGTAAAATCCCGTTAATGTATATATATATATATATATATATATATATATATATATATATATATATATATATATATATATATATATATATATATATATATATATATTTAGGTATATTTGTATAAACATTTGAAGAATCATTTGACAACATTTTTTTATAATTTTATTATTTATTATTTAAACTGTTAACAGTTAATATCTTAAATATATCGTAACATAAAATCTTTTGCGTCTTTTTCGTAACTACACATTCCGAAATGCTTTTTCCGTAAGGAACTATTTCGTAAGTATTCTTACGAAATGATTTGTTTCGCAAGTTTTCTTTCGCAATGCTTTATTACGGAATTTTATTTACTATTTATATTTTCGTATAGCGCGTTACGGAATGTGCATTTTTGCATGTGCAACTTCCGCAATAACAATTCTATTACGGTAGATAAAGATGCGAAATTTTCGCAAGTTTTGTTTTTCGGCGAACAACCCTAGGTAAAATCATTTTATTTTTTTGCGCTTGTTTTTTTTTTCTTGTTACTTATTATGATTTGATGACGTTTCAATTAAAACTAATCGTTTTGAAATCAGAGTTGTATTTTGAAAGTATCATTGTATTTAATGTCATTGTAATGACATTAAATACAATGATACTTTCAAATTACTTTAATTAATTCACGGAAACCGTGAATTAATTAAAGTAATTCACGGTTTCCGTAAACACCACATTAGAACACATGCAGATTTTTTCTGGTACATGTCGGCGGTGCAGTGCAATCGATTGTCAATTACAATGTAAAATCAGTCAAAGTGAAGTCTCATAATCTGAAAAAGATTTGCGGAAGATTTATAGATTGAAAGAATAGATTATAGTTTTTTTAAATCTCTTTCTTGCTATTCTTGTTCTTGCAGATTTTTCACCTATATGCCTGACAGGTCCAGGATTTTTGGTCGAGTAGTCTACAAGAGTGGTTTACAAGGGTAGTCTACAAGGGTGATTCAAAATTATGATATCTTAGGCTTAGCTGTAATATGTTTCAAATATTAAAAAAGAAACATTATTACAAATTGTGTGAAAACATTAATTTTTATGTTGACTTGAAAACCTTTAATGTTAATGTTTTTAATTTTTAGATATCATCTCAAAAGTTTGCAATTAAATTTCTTTGTGGACTTTCAAAAATTTATTTAACAAATGAAAACAAGTTGTTTTTTATACTCTCTGCAAAAATCTTATGATGAGCACTATTAGTTTTTGCAAAATTAAAAACAAAAATTTTTAAAGTTAAATTGCACTACCTTAAAGAAGAAAAAAAAAACAAAAATCAAAGCGGTGGCGAGATAGCTCAGATGGTTAGAGCGTCAAAGGAAAAGTTGAAAACGAGTTCAAATCCCGCCTCCGCCAACTCAGCGCTTGAGTAGTACTTCGGTACGCAAAAATGTTGGTCAATAACGGACGCTACTTTGGATTAGTCTTAATGACTATTTGTGGCTGTTCCTATGCTAAGCCAACAATATCTTCGGATATAAGAACATTGTATAGAAAAATATAGCATGAAAACTCAAATAAATAAAAAATAAAAAACAAATAAATAAAGTTGCAACAACCCAGTGGGCACGGACGTAAAAAGGACGTCTTTTAAACGTCTTATACATTTGGGTATCTTGTTAACGTCTTTTGAAAGTTTTGGATGTCTTTTGAACGTTCAAAAGACGTCTTTTTATGGTCCGGTGCCCATTGGGAAGGGTTTGACTGTTACTTTTTACATCCTTTTGTCTACTATAGTAGTAGGTTAGTGTTTAGTGATTGGTTGTTGGCGTTTTACGTAAAAGGTTAAAAACAGTATTAATGATCTAAAAAAATCTGAAAGATATTTATTTGGAACAATAACAATCTACTTTTTTTTATCTGTTATATCTGTTTTACAAGGGCATATAAACTTAAAACACAGAGTGAGCTAAAGAATCTTTCTCAACATGATAAAAACTAGTCGTGATGATTGACACATATTAATCTGCAGAAACATTTTTTAAAATATACAAATAAGTATAATTATATATATATATATATATATATTATATATATATATATATATATATATATATATATATATATATATATATATATAGGGCCGGCGCGAATAGGTGTCACGTGGGGGGGGGGGGTGCCAATACATTTTGCCGACTAAAAAAAAAAAAAAGGTCCTCGGTCCTCATTTTCCAAAATTTGCCGACTGCCATGACGACATTTGCCGACTGTCTAGATTACCGACTAACATATAACGAAAGGGTCGATATTTGCCGACTACCTAGTCTAAATGGGTCCAATTTGCCAACTAAGGGTCTAATTTGCCGACTGAAAATCACTGATGGGGGTGTGTGACACCCCCCACACCCCCTATCGCGCCGGCCTTATATATATATATATATATATATATATATATATATATATATATATATATATATATATATATATATATATATATATATATATATATATATATATATATATATATATATATATATATATATATATACATATAAATGTATATATATATATATATATATTTTGATAATATACAAATTAGTATAATTAAATATATATATATATATATATATATATATATATATATATATATATATATATATATATATATATATATATATATGTATATATATATATACATATAAATGTATATATATATATATATATTTTTTTTTTTTTGATAATATACAAATTAGTATAATTAAATATATATATATATATATATATATATATATATATATATATATATATATATATATGCATATGAATTTATCTCCCATTGACAAAGCAGGGACTGATGCAGAATTTTATGAGCAACACCTAGTTTATATCGCAATCCCATTCCAGCTAGTGAAGTGGGGGAGGGGAAAAGAGCTAAAGCAATTTTCTTAAGCAATTAAGGTAAAAGAATCTGTTTAATTATTACTTATAGATTTCAGTTACTTATCTAAAATAAACTTATTACAAATGTTGCTTTGGGTTTTTTGCTCATAAATTAGACATTTAATACATATCTAACTCACTTAAAGAAGTGCACGAGCAAGAAGGTAATATAAGTTAGCACTCCATCTCATATTTATTATGTTGCCTTAATTTAGTCTTTCATTAATGGATTCTTTCCTTTCCTGATTGGCATTTTATATACATTATATTTAATTTTATCAACGGTTTATTCTCATTTTTGCTTTCTTTCTTATTTTTTACAAGTATTCAGGCAGAATTTTTTTTTTTCAAACTCTCATGAAGTAACAGGAACTGTTTCTAAATTTAAAAACGTTTGAAAAAACCCCCATATAGTTAGATTTTTAAATGTTTGAAAAACCCCCATATAGTTAGATTTTTAAATATTTGTAACAGTGGATGGAACCGCGAATTGAGTGTTCCAAAATGTTTTCTGCAAATCTAATTCCACATGAATCGATGTATGTTAAGGCATTTCTAAAAAAAAAAAGACCTAAAAATATCTAACTTTCACAAACGTTTGTTCATTGTTATTATTATTATTATTTATTTATTTTTTTTACAACAGTTGCAAGTATACCAACTATTGTAAACAATTATCCCAATTTCATTAAATCTTCTAATTCATTAATCAAACGATCTATAATAGGAAAAGTAATACAATGTTGAAAATAACCTGAAAAACTGTGCGAAAGATTTTTTATATATATTTTTTTGTCACATAGCCTATTTTAACTTTAGAGCATCAAGAGTCTTAATTAGATTAAAAGCAACTGAGCACCACCAGATAGACATCAATACTTTTTTTAAATCTAAAATTTGTGTTTTTAAACATTCAATTTCATTACACTGTTACAATATATCAAACGCTTTGGGTTCGGAGAACAACAGTGGTGGCATAGAAACAGCCCATTATTTGCATTGCTGAAAAAAATTTGTTCTGAAGGTCAAAAGCTTGTCTATTTCAAAATCGCCTAGATATTTTCCGAAATCCGAAAAGGTTGCAAAACTCCCCCTATATGAAAACTTACAAAATAATTTTAACAAAAAAAACTAATTTTTTTTTTCCGTGTTATTCCAAAAAATTAAACTTTAAAGTTTTATTACGTTTTTATCCTATTTCTGTGCCAGCTGGTTAGAATTAAAAAACATTGAAGTATCGGATTTTTTACTTTGATTGTTAGACTCCCTAAATATTTAAACATTTTCATGAAGTAACAAAATAAATAATATTAAATCAATCGCATACATTAATTGCTTATGAAGCTTTATAAGCAACCATTTATAAAGCAATTATATATAAAGTTTTAGAAGTAATTAAAGTATGCAAATGATTTTATATTATTTGTTTTGTAACTTTATTGAAAATGTTCAAATATTTAAAGAGTCTAACAATCAAAGTAAGAAATACGATATTTCAATGTTTTTTAATTCTGACCAGCTGGCACAGACGTCCGTGGGACGTCTATACGACGTCTTACGAACGTTACAAGTCCGAAGTACGAAGGACGTTTCGTGTCTGCTGGGTAAAAGTTGTTATTCTCTAGGTCTATAGAGCCTAAAGGCTAAAAAAAAAAAAGTCTTTTTTCAATAGAAACTTTTTTTAAGCTAAGCTGAGCACTTTTTTATACAGAAACTTCTACATACAGAAACTTCTACATACAGAAACTTCTACATACAGAAACTTCTACATACAGAAACTTCTACATACAGAAACTTCTACATACAGAAACTTCTACATACAGAAACTTCTACATACAGAAACTTCTACATACAGAAACTTCTACATACAGAAACTTCTACATACAGAAACTTCTACATACAGAAACTTCTACATACAGAAACTTCTACATACAGAAACTTCTACATACAGAAACTTCTACATACAGAAACTTCTACATACAATAACTTCTACATACAGAAACTTCTACATACAGAAACTTCTACATACAGAAACTTCTACATACAATAACTTCTACATACAGAAACTTCTACATACAGAAACTTCTACATACAGAAACTTCTACATACAGAAACTTCTACATACAGAAACTTCTACATACAGAAACTTCTACATACAGAAACTTTTACATACAATAACTTCTACATACAGAAACTTTTACATACAGAAACTTCTACATACAGAAACTTCTACATACAGAAACTTCTACATACAGAAACTTCTACATACAGAAACTTCTACATACAATAACTTCTACATACAGAAACTTCTACATACAGAAACTTCTACATACAGAAACTTCTACATACAATAACTTCTACATACAGAAACTTCTACATACAGAAACTTCTACATACAGAAACTTCTACATACAGAAACTTCTACATACAGAAACTTCTACATACAGAAACTTCTACATACAGAAACTTCTACATACAATATTTTCTACATACAGAAACTTCTACATACAGAAACTTCTACATACAGAAACTTCTACATACAGAAACTTCTACATAGAGAAACTTCTACATACAGAAACTTCTACATACAGAAACTTCTACATACAAAAACTTCTACATACAGAAACTTCTACATACAGAAACTTCTACATACAGAAACTTCTACATACAGAAACTTCTACATACAGAAACTTCTACATACAGAAACTTCTACATACAGAAACTTCTACATACAGAAACTTCTACATACAGAAACTTCTACATACAGAAACTTCTACATACAGAAACTTCTACATAGAGAAACTTCTACATACAGAAGCTTCTACATACAGAAACTTCTCTTTGAAATGCGTTTTAAAACGGAATGTTTAGATTTCAAAAAAGGCTTATGAGACCTTTTTTTATAATTTTTATTTGAGCCTGCTTAAATTTCTAATTTTATATGCATATCAGTTTTATATACTTTATCGGACAAAACCAAATTAGAAATTTCTTATCATAATCTTGTAAATATTATTACAGTCGGTGTTTAATAAAATGCTTCGTAAAATAAAATCTCTACCTAAAAGTGGGACTGAAATTTTACCCGACTCCTTATGTTTACCATGCGTGCATGTACGTCTAGATCGAAAAAAAAATTATTTTTTAATTGAACTGTTTTCAATTTTTATTAGATGTAAACATATAATACATCTTTGTTAATTAATTGTAAGAATACTACTTTTAATAACCTATTTATGGTATTGTATTTACAAAAGCGTTGAAGATGAACCAAAATGAATATCTCTGTAACAGCTGCTTGTTTCACAGTAGTTCAAATCTGTTTTGTTACATTTTGTTGTTCGTTTGCAAATTTGTTTGCGGCTTTTGCAAACAAATGTTTTATCTTAATAGGCGTTAAGTAAGCTAAGGTTGAATGCGTTTGAGCAATGGGGCGGAACGATAATCCTCTTTTGCGTTACCAGGCTCTTGTTTGCGCATAATTTTAATTAATTTAACAAAAATTACAAAGGACAATTAAAATGTTCATTAATTAACTATTTTAAAGGTCAATGTTGACATGAAAAGGTAATTTTTGATACTTATATATTTTTTTTTACTTATATGCATTGCAAATTTTGATTCAAAATTACAATAGCTAATCTTAAAAAGCTCTCCTGTGGCTCTCAGGAGGGGGTATATGCGTGCAAAACCAGTTGAGCTGTGTAGTACGAAGTATAGCTTTGCACAGGTAAAAAAAAAGGAATTCTGAAAATATGACATTATAATAAATACCAAAAAGCTTGCAAGGCATTATTGTACATACATATAATTTTAAAGTAACCCTTGCAAAGCTAGAACAAAACAAGAAGACAATCAGACTTGAACTTTTTGAATAAATTTATAAAATAAAGTGTGAAGAAAAAAAAACGTGGTTATGCAGATAAATATGTGCGTATAAAACAAACGTTTGACAGACAATTGACGATTAAGGTAAATCTCAAGTAATAAGCACACATTAGGAATTACTAATAATTCATATTAGTTCATTTTAAATTATTTGCAAATTGAAAAAATCTTTTGAATTGATAATAATTGTAATTTCAATACAAACTAAAAATTTTCAACTTCATCAATTATTTTTCATATTTTTTACTTATGAATTTAATTTCTTTAATGTTTGCGTATTTTTCTACATTCATCAAAAGTATAAAAATTCAATGTTTAAAGGTTTTTAGCTCATTTTCAGTAGAAGTTAGAAGTTTTATAAACTTTATATTATATATATTTCTAAAAAATTTTATATTATATATATTTCTAAAAGATTTTTTTTTATGCATTTCACTTTTGCTAACTGTAGCTTGCGAATTTTCAACACTCTGACCCACCATAACTCTCACCATAACTCTACACATTCTGAATGAAACCTGAATAAAGTCTAAAGAGTTAGCGGAGTAACGGTGCTAAGAATATAAACAAAAAGAGAACAAAGAAAATGTTAAAGAGATAACCTTACACAAAAGTTATGTTTTGGGTAACTATTTTTCCGCTGTGTACGTGAAAGAGCACAGAGCTAACCTATTTAAGACTAAAACTCTTACTGCGTTCGCCTACGGAAAACCAGGATAATGGCAACCCTAGCTATTTTAAATAAAATTTTATAGCGTTTAGGTTGAAATAAGTTTAACATATTCATAACTTTATAAAAGGTAATGACCGGTCATAAATATCGGAGGCCTAAACCTCGGAAACATAAATATCGGAGGCGACACAGGTCAGTGTCCTATCGCAAAGAAAAACAGAAAAAAGTTTTAAAATTCTTTTTTGTTATTAATTTTTTCCTATTAGGAAAATGAGTAATACCTTCAAAAAAAAATAAAAGCGAGAAATAAAAGCAACACTTGCATACATGTTTTTTTGGTATGCATGTTTTATCCAAAAACAAAAAATATTTAGTTTTTTAGTATTAAGGAATTTAAATTCGGAAATTATAATGGCGCATTACAGATGTAAATGTTGAGTTGAATAAAAAATAATTTTATAAGATTAAAAGCAATTTTTCTAAAAATTCCTAGAAAATTCCGAACGCTTCAAGAAGTTTTTGTAATTTAAAATTTCTGCAATACAACGGGTCCAGTACTTTTATATTACCAATCAGCAACCAAAGCCATGTGAGGCATGCAATCGGATAGGTCAGAGCTTGGTGTCTAAGATATCGACTAAACGTTGGCTTCAAAGCTAAGTTTAGCTGACATTTTTAGAAAAAACTAAAATTTCTGAAAGTTAAAAAAAAAAATTATTAAACAAATACACTAACGATGCTTTAAATTGTTTTTTGTTTTGTTTTTTCATTTATTCTTCATTTTATACTTTATTATTTATTTAATTCTTTACTTATCGTTTTTATTTGTTTTTCATTTTCATTAGTTTTCCAATTTTACCCATTATTCTTAGCTGTCATATAGTGAATATATCAGGGGTGATTCTATCGATGAGGCTGTACTGGAAATGTCAGTACTTGTGAATAAAATATATTTAGATTAATATATAAATATATTTAGATATAAAAAAAATTTAGAAAAAAAAAATATATTTATATATACATATATATATATATATATATATATATATATATATATATATATATATATATATATATATATATATATATATATATATATATATATATATATATATATATATATATATATATATATATATATATATATATATATATATATATATATATATATATATATATGTATATATATATATATATATATATATTGTTATTAAAGTAATAATGATTAAAAAATATATAAAAAACTTTGTTTGATATAAAAATTCAACAGCATTTTAAAAAATTACGGATAGCAGCACAACAACTTTTATCAAAGCGGTAGAACATAATAGCCTCCACTAATCATTATTAAAAAAATGGATTTAAGTTGTTTCAAACAGTAATAATGCTAAAAAAAATGTTTGTAAGTTAATATTTTAATAAAGTAGTAATAACAACTATTCTTAAAAATTAGTTATCATATTTATCATAATTATCATATATAATATTATAAAAGTATGTATTTGTTTACTTTTTAGAATGAAAACTTTGATGTTTTTGCTTATGATAACAGGTAGTTTTTCAATATTTTTTATTTTTGATTCATATACACCATGCGCCATTTTTTATTGTTTATTTATATATCAAGTTGCAAATAAAATAACAAAATTAAATTTTTTGAGATTAACTTTTTGTTAACTTTTATTTAGTGTTTGAAAATGCTGGGAGTGTTAACTCTCTTATGGAAGAACCACACGACTACACAATTTCTTTTTTCCAGTTTGATCCAACAGAACTTGGCGTCGAAAAAAAAGAAAGCAAAAAAGACATTAAACCAAGTGATATTTATTCCAATAAAAATGTATCACGTACAAATAAAAGTAATTCACATTTAAATAAAACATTGCTGCATAATATTAAAAATAAAAATGTAACGTTAAATAAAGTTAACTCAACAAAAATCAATAGCAAAAAGCCGATTATAAAATTGGTCACAGACTTTGCAAAAAATACAAGTAAAATTCATCCTGACAAAAACAAACCAAACACAACCAAACATAAAATGGCGACGCTGTCAAACTTTGAGACCTTTTTTGAGAACCATCACAACTTTTATAGAAGTGATGTTTTAAATCCGAATCCACGGCCATCAGTAGAACTTGCCCTACACAACCTTCATCTGCCTAAATCTATTGTAGGAAAGAAGCCAAATACTTTATATACATCAAACCACACTTTTCCAGAAAATGCACACAACTCTCTAATTAAAGCCAGTCAAAATATTATAGTAAAACATGAAAATACAAGTTATGTTTTGGAAGATCTCCCGTCGAAACAAGAAGGCCCAATGAAAAAAATTGACACTGCTTTAAACAAAAACACGGCGTCAACACTTATTAAAAAAGAAGATAATTTATTGCTGTTAAATACAACATTAAAGCACAATATAACTAATAAACCTGTTAACCATATAAAAGAAATAACTGTTTTAAAAAAACACAATTCTTCTGATTCCACTAAAAATGATACAAATATTATCAATAAGAAAACGCAGTTATCCAAACTTGAAAAAGATAAAAGAGTCAACAAGGAAATATTAGAAGCTGCAAAAAAAATTGTGCCTGTAAAAAACACAGTAAAGCCTATTCCAAACATAAAAAATGTATCATTTTCACAGGCAGCTGAGTTACAAAAACGAAATGTGACATCACAATTTATTGCCACAAATGACGATGCACTAAATCACGGATTAGCTATAAAAAGTGAGAATCAAAAAAACGAAAATCATATTGTCACTGAGTATTTACATGTTGAATCAAATCAAAAAAATAAAAACTTTCATGCAAAACAACCTGTTGATGAAATTGACGAGTTTCGTTCAACTATATCAAAGCATCGAGAAAGTGTTGCAAAGTTTATCCCATTGTACAAAAATATAAGTAAAAAAGATCGTACGATGAGTTTTCAGCGTGGTTTGCTTAAACATCCGGAGCATAAAATGTTTCCAAAGTGTCATACATGTCAGCAAAACTCGACCTATGCACAGTGCGTTAAAAGTTCAACTTTACTTGATTGCAATAAAGGACTAAACAATATATGTTTCACAAGATCAACCAAAAAGTACGGAACAATATCGTATGAAATGGGTTGCGCAGACCATAAGCAATGCAACGATGCAAGAGCGTTCCCTTGTAAAGGTTTCTAACTTTTATACTTTATTCTTTTATGTTATTTATTTGTCTTGTAGTTAAACAGTATATTACTAAAATGCTTAAACACCCATATAGCACCAGAGGGGCACCTAAAAGGAGGAGGAAGTAATTTTATAACACCCTCAAAAGTTCCAAACTTTTAAAAATCAAAAATTTTTGTTTTAGTTTTTGAAAAAAAAAATTTCTTTAGTTTTTTTAGAATTATTGCATTTGAGCTCATATGTTTAACTATTACTATTATTATTTCATAACTAATAACTCAATATTTAAAAAAGAAACTTATGCAACTTTAAAATCACTTCTTTTTAGATGGATCAAATGCATGTTTTACATGCTGTCAGTTTGATAGATGTAACTCAAGTCCTCATCATGGAGAATATGAGTTAGACTCACTAAATATGGACGAACTTGTTTCACTTGATGCTTCAGAAGCAAAATCTCCTGCAACTTTATGTACATTTAATTGGACATGGGTTTTAGGTGGAACATTCCTAAGTCTTATGCTATTTTTTGTCTGATTGTGATTGGTTATTCACTTTTATTATATTATCAGTTTTAGTTTACGATTGTTTTAATAACATCTCGTAGAGTTCTGTTATCCAACTAAAGTAATATAAACTTGTGTTTTTCTTAATCATTTTAGTAATAATCTTTAGTGGTGAAATAAACCATGGAAATCATGGATTGTTTCAAACCATGGGAATAAAACTATAAAACTAAAATTTATTCTATATTTAAAAAAACAAAAAAGTTATTATGTTTCCCTGTTTCTATGCTATTTTATCATAATTTATATAATTATTACATATAGTTATATATATTGCAAATAATATATAAGTTTTACATATTTTATTTATTTTACTTTGAGTTTTTTGTTGTCAATTTTTTTAGTATTTTTAGTTCAGCACCGAAAAGGTGTTTACTGGTTCTGTAAAATATCCACGTTTTTTCAAGCAAATTTTTTATATCAACAAAATGTAGCAAGGATTTGACAATTATATATTCACTAACACCAAAAACTTTTTGTTTTATTTATTATGACTATTACTTATCTAAAAAAAGTATTCTCTTAATATGTTATCCTGCCCTACAGGTAGACATGACTACCCTTATCCTGCAATATGGTTTTTTGAATTTTAACTAGACAAATACAACTTTTTTTAGTATAATAATAATAACAATAATAATAGCAACAATAGTAATAACATTGTATATACATACATGCATTGGGTAAAAAATTCAGACATCAGAGAGCACATTTTATGTATTTTATTATATAACCTTCTATTATAACTTAGTTTAACAAACAATTATTTTCATTGCAAAATATTTAACTTGGACAACTTACATTTCTTTCAACCTTTTTTTTTCTTATTACTCCTTAATAGCATTTTTTTACGGGCTTTAATTCATTCAAAGGCACTGAACCCTTAATTAAATTGCACTTCAGTTTTTTTTTAATTGTTTTTTTTTTGTTCTTGTTGTTGTTGTTTATTTTATTTCATATTGACATGTAATTTGTTTTACAGTAGTTAATACAGCAGTTAGTACAATATACACTTGTACACAGGCCTGGACTGGAAACAGATTTAGGCCCAGGAAATACTGGGGACGTAGGCCCACAATATAAAATTTAAGAAAAATAAAAATATAAAAAGCACATAAGTAATTTGTAAACATTTATTAAAACAATAAAAAAAGAGTTTTTTTTTTCAAAATGTTTTTAAAATTGTTCATTCATATTACTTGTATCTGTATCCATTATAACATTATATACACATTTACTAAATTTATTATTAGATTTATCCGTTCTTATTATTTTATATGTTTGACAAAACATTGTTTCAATTTGAATTTTAATTTCTTTTTTGTTTAGTTCTTAGTTTGCAGCCAATGCAAAATTTTTTGCTGCTTGATATACTGTATCAAAATCTTTAATGTATTTGAAATTTTTATTTGTATTTTTTTTTACCATACCAAATGCAATTGCAATATCGATATAAATGCAATTGCAATATCGATGTTGTTTCTTTAAATGACAAAGGTGTTGTTTCTTTAAATGACAAAGGTGTTGTTGTTTCTTTAAATGACAAAGGTGTTGTTTCTTTAAATGACAAAGGTTTAAATGATATAGTTTAAATGATATAGTTTAAATATAGTTTCCTAATGTCTAATTTCTTTGTTAAACTTTTCGGATATAAAGATTTCATTGAAAGTCTGCAGAACATTGACGAAAAATATAATTACAGACGAACTGTTAAATGTACCAAACATTTTTCTTATTTTTGGCCCACCAACAAGTTTCTCCAATAGCAGAAATAAATTTAAATCTATTAAATTCTTGCCGTATGTTGAAACATTTATATGATTCTTTTAAAAAAACAGCACATGTATTAAAGATACCAAATAGTGATATGGTTTCTATTGTTTTTTGATTAATCTCCGTAATAACTAAATTTAATAAATGTGCACAACACCAAGTATGAACTTGATTTGGTGAATCTTGATTTAATCATGCATTAAAACATTTATATGTACCTTGCATATTTACTGCGCCATCGGTACAATTATCGATACATTTACTTATATCAGTTTTCATATTTTTCAAAGTTTTGCAGATCTTTTTTTTCCAATTACTGGAAAAATATCTTTATCTTAATATGCTTTGAAAAAATTGAACAAATAATAGCCATTGTTAATTGCACTTCAACAACTGTTGTTGAAGTGCAATTAACAACGGCTATTATTTGTTCATAAATACGATCCACTTTAGTGTATCTTATAATAACTGAATATTGATCTACTAAGTTAATATCTTGGGCAGAGTCATCCCGAACAGAAGGATGTAGGGGGGTATTCCACCCCTCCCCCTCCCCCCAAAGTTGTCTTATAAGCATTTGAGTTAGCACATTGAGCAAGTTTTAAACTATAGTTGGCAAATTGCAAATATCGAGGACCTTTTTCTTTTTTTGGTGTCTCTAGTTGGCAAAAAATACACCCCTTTCCCTACGGAAGCCCTCTTCGAGACAACCCTAATCTTGGGTGATGTCTAATTGGCCGTGGCGCAGTGGTTAAAGCGCTTGCTTTAGAAGCAGCAGATCCAGGTTCGAAACAAACTCTGGACATATTTTTGCGTCATGGTAAGGAAGTAGACGTGAACTTCCTAGTTAAATGCACTTCCGCGGTGCTCTGTGACAATACCGCTAGGTTTTCTTGGGGTACCTAAAAATAACAACAACAAAAAAAAGTTGAATTCTGTATATTTTGGCTTTATTTACTTTATTTGATAGAATTCCTTTCATTAGAAAAATAACAGAATTAATAACAAAATTTGCTTTAATTTTAGACAATAGTGTTACGAGATCGCCCCTTGCTTTGTTGGTGCCAATTTTGTCACAGCAATTTTTACTCTTTTTAAAAGATCAATGGATTTACTTATTAATAAAATTAATAAGTTCTAAAAAATTGCCATGATCTTAATTTTTTTTCCAACAAACTTGTGCAGATTCATTTAAATTCCGATAACTAATTTTTCGTTTACCTTTCAATTTTATAGTTTCAATTATTTTTTCGAATATTTTTCGATTTCTATTCACATTTACTTGACTTGTTTATTAAATATATATGTCTTTGTCGTTGGTTTTGAAAGTGTTTGATTCGGTACATGTAGTATGAAGTGAAGAAATTACATATTCTGCGATTCTTTGATAAACATCTTTAGCATTTTTTTAACATTTATATCATAACCATTTATAAGAATAAATGTTTTCGAAACTTATATATATATAATATATATATATATATATATATATATATATATATATATATATATATATATATATATATATATATATATATATATATATATATATATATATATATATATATATATATATATATATATATATATATATATATATATATATATATATATATATATATATATATATATATATATATATATATATATATATATATATATATATATGTATATATGTTTGATTTTCATTTCTTTAAAAGGAACTTCTTCTTGTTCTCGTTGATCTTCTTGTTGAATATCTGGATCGTCTCCAGTTCCCTGCTTTTCAATCAATTTTATTACGTTATGCGATTGTGACAATAGACGAAACTGTTTGGTCATGACCTTAGGAATTACTTTGTAAACCTTCCAAAGAATCTATAGAACTTTGAATTCCAAACATGTCTGATAATTTGTAGGATTTTCTCGTTCAAATTTCATTAGACTTTGCCTTTTGATTTTTATTTTATCCTTAACCCTTTTTGTTTTGCTGCCATTCTGGATAATGAGTATGGAACAAATAATATATACTTTAACTCATTAAAAATAAAATATAACTAAAACACTTGCAAAAAAAAAAAGTACAACCTTTTACCAACTTCTCTTTTCAGATGATTACTTATGTTGAAAAAAATCTTTTTTTCAACATAAGTAATGAATGTGAAATGAGAAGACCACATTACAAAGATAACCAAAAAGCTTACTCAAAATTAGGTACATATAAGAAATTCAAATTCAAACACTAAAGCGGTCATTTAAATTCTGGTCAACTGACTCGTTTACTAAACTATGTTAACCGGAATTAGAAATATATGTACCAGTTTGAAATCCACATTTGAAAAATGAAATAAAAAAACTTGAAAGAGTTCAGCAAAGAGGTACAAAGCTTGTACAAAGTTAAAATCACAATTCATATGAACACATTTATTAAGCTTAGGGTTAGAAAGCCTCGAAACCAATTTTTTAAATTAAAAACTTATTTTTTTTGGGTTGGATTATACTATTTTGCTAACCTTCACTGAAGCCTAAACAAGCAGACAAATTAAGTTTATATGTAAATTTTGCTAAGTTTATATATAAATTTTGCTACTTAAATTTTTTTGAAGACTTTCTGTAAACGTCTTTGAGACGACATATTTCTAAGGTAATTAGGGCGTCTAAAGTAGGACTTAGGGACGTTAATAAGATGTCTAAATATGGAAGTCCTGATAACGCTTAAAGTAGACATCACTAGGACGTCCTAATACAGGTCCACCGGGATACTGGGAATATCCCGGTTGGGCCTGTAGGCCCACCGGGATATTCTCGGTATCCCGGTGGGCCTACTAGGAATATCCCTGTGAATATCCACGCCTCCTTCCTTGAAATATCGCTTACATAGTCAGAACCAGCATCGAACCTCTTTTTTTTGAGCCAGAACTCAAAACCACTACGCCACGGCTGTTCAGAGCCGACAACACCGGGGAAGAGGGAATGCACTTTTTTCTAAAGGACCATTTTTTTTTAATGAAAAAAATTCTAGATATAGTACTTTTTTCAAAAATTGAAGATTGCGCCCTCTCCACTACAAAATCCAAGTCGTTGGCCCTGTTTTTGAAAAATTTTCATCGTTTTGTTTTTTTGTTTTGTTTTTAAACTATAAACTACATTGATGATAACAAACATGAAAAAACATCAATAAACATTATTGACAAAAAGTTAAAATTGCGCCCCTTCCCCTAAATTTAGTTTTCGCAATTTTAATGTCATTTTAATTAGCTTATTTTTATTTAGATTTTAAACAGTAAATTTCCTAAAAAAGTATTTTTTAGCCATCGATAAAAAATATTAGTAGTATGCAACGCTTTAAAAGTGTTGTACTTTTAAAGCGTTGCATACTACTAATATTTTTTATCGATGGCTTTTAGATTTAGGTCTGTTTAGACTTATGTGTGATAAATACAGCAAACTATTGTTGAGAAATATTCAAAAGTATGAACGAAAAGCTAAGTTCATTTAAAAACATATAACATGATGAACACGTCTCGTTTATATTCATTTAAGAAAATTTTAAAAGAAACTTTTATAATTAAGCCCTGCAAAAATACACCTACAAAAAAGAAAGAACATTGTATGTTGTTGCTGAAAAAAAGAAAGAATAATGTACGAAAAAAAAAGAGAAATTCTTAAAAACTATACCCAAAAAATTGCAATGTCAGCAATGTCAGTCATTTTCTAATAATATGGGAAAACTTAATATAGAAAAATAGGCGTCCCAATCAGAGTTACTGTCTCAGGCAGCGTGAAAGCTCTCGGCGCCCCTGCATGTAGTTAAAATAGTAAAGAAGGTTGTGACCTAAAATCTAACTTAATTTTATTACCAATTTATAACGACAGAGAGTTCTGTTTAACCATTATGAAAGTGCTTTCTTTTAAAATAAGAGCATGTAATTACACAAGATCTGTTTGCTCTATATAATTATTTTTAGTTCAGAACATTGGAAAAAGTGCTGTGAAAGTTTTAACTCAATCGGTTAAATAAAAGTTTCAAAAAATCTTATACTTTTGCATATAAACAAAAGAAAAAATTTTATATAAATTTATTTTACATACATTGAGGATTTTATTTAAAAACAATAAGGAATGTGAGTCTTCAAAAATAAAAAAGAAATAATATATAAAAATATGTAAAAATATCGAGAATCTTTCAATTCAATTAAATTATTTAAAATCTACAAAAAACTTAAATAAAAATGGTGTTTAAGTTGAAACTCCAATTCAGACAGGAAGATCAACTATAAATCAAGAAGAAATCAGCCAGAAAATTATTAATAAAATTGTAGAAGAAAAAACTTCAACTCCTTTTTCTCGATGAAAATAAACAAGACTTAATTCTAAGTTCTAAATCTTTATAATGAAAGTAATAAAATTAAATTAGAAGTTGTAAATTGCGAAAATAGAAAATCAAATAAAATCGTTTAAATCTTTACACATATCGAATGCACGAAAAATAATTTAAAGTTCAAATTATTTTCCGTGCATTCGATTTGTGTAAAGTTTTAAACAATTTTATTTGATTTACCATTTCCACATTTTACAACTTCTTATTTAATTTTATTACTTTCATTTTAGAACATTACAACTTAGAAATAAGTCTTGTTTATTTTAACGGTTTATTTTAACGGTTAATACATGGTTAGCCATACACATAAGAATTACCAGTGTTACTTAATTTTTAATTTCATTTTTCTTTTCACCAGAAAAATTGTAGCATGATATATGAAACTAATCTAAAAAAGCAATAAATTACTTGTTGTCTTATTTTATTGCTGTAAAATAAGCGCTCAAGATTTTATTTGAAGCATTTGAAATAACAAAACGTAAAACTAACGACGAAGGAGTACAGTTCTTCGAACTATACAGATTATTTCTAATCATTCTGGAAGTTTTCTAGAATATTATAAAAATGTGTAGAACAATCGTGGCAACTTCAATAGAGTATAAATTTCAAATCCTGTTATGCTTGAATCAGTTAGAGAATTCAAGAAGTTCTTTTCTTAGCGTACTAAAAGTGTGTAAAAGCTTCCATCTTATTTTGAAATAAGAAATTATATCGGTAAGGATCATTCTAGTTTTTTTTTTTTGTGTGATATTTCCAATTATGTTGTAATAAAAAGTTTTTGTTTTGTCATTATTTGTGTTCTTTTTTTAGTTCTTTATTTTTTATTGATCTGGTGATTTGTAGTGTTTATGCTTTATTCTTCTTGTGTGTATTTTTTTTAGTGTTTTATTTATTCTAGTGTGTATTTTTATTTGTAGTGTATTTTATATTAAAATATTTTTTGGTTAGTTAAGCAATGGTATTTTTATCTTTTAATGTTGTAATAATAAATATAAATGCTTCTTCTTGAGAAATTTTTTTAGTATTAGTCGACATGTTTTTACTGATCTCTATTAGTTTCTGATCAATTTTTCACTATTTGTTTATCAATTTTCCTTTTTCCTATAACTTTTATACTTCAATGCAAATCTTAATTTTTTTGCTATTATTATTTTTATTACTATTACTATTATTCTTGTTAATATTATTATTATTGTTGTTATTATTAATATTTTTATTATTGTTTATATTGTTGTTGTTATTATTGTAGCTATTACCACCACAACTGCAATTAGGGTTGCTTTTTTTTATTACTAAATTTTTTATTATTTGTATTCTTTTACTGCTATTATTAGTAATATATTTTCAACACTATACTAACCTTGTTCATATCATAGTCAGTTGTTACATATTTGTATTTATATTTGTTATAAGTTTTTACTGTTAACTGTATCTAACAATGTGTGTGTGTATATATATTTAGTTTTGCTTATTAGGGGTCAACCTAATGAGCAAAAAATAAATCACCTGACACCTAACCTGTTACTGTAAAATTTATGATCTATTCGTAAATTTGAATAAATGGCTAAAATAAGTACAAATAAATTGTATTGGATAAATAAGAGTAAAAAGTTTTTAGTTCTTTTCAATGAGGTTTATCTTGTTAATTGCATTTTCCTGACAAGAAAATTTGTGTGCCCCATGTATCATCAAATAGCCAAACTTGATTTATGGAAATGGCATAAATGTTGTATAAATATCATATGATATTTATGCCACTTAGAAGGTAGCCCACATATGGCTATAATTTTTATACTATTTAAATATTGTAAATGTTATAACCATGCATATCTTTTTTTTTTTTGCTGGTCTTTTTTAAATAGCTTTTTGTTTTTAGAAAAAAATGTCTTTATGGCATATACCTGTTCATGAATATATTCCAAGTGATCCATTTTTGGATGATATACTAGAGATAACTTTTCCTCCCCTCAGATATTTTCCTCTGTTTGATGAAAAAGCAAGTGCTCGAAAATCAATTAGAGAACGCAATCGGTTGTACAGGGATCTAATTGGTTACTCGCCATATCCATCTCGTTCAAAAAGGAAAACCTCTAAAAAACATGGTTTTGAAGTGAATCTTGATGTTAAACATTACAAGCCTGAAGAAATTGCTCTAAAAGTTGAAGGTACTCCCCTTGATCTGATGTTAAATAACTAAATAACTTTAAATAACTAAGTTTATTTTTAAATAGCCTAATGTAAGATGTGTATGATTTTATTATTTGGTGTATATAAGTTTTATGATATTTTAGGGCAAGTTCTTCAAGTGAGCGGCAAGCACCATAATGAAAATGAAACTGGATTTGAGTCTAGTGAGTTCCACAGAAAATACACTATTCCAGATGATGTAGATCCGTCAGCTATTACTTCAAACATCAGTCAAGATGGTGTTTTGCACATAGAAGCTCCTAAAAAGTCTCATGTAAATTCTGATTCTGTAGAATCAACAAAAGAGGTTTTTAAGTGCAGCTTAGATGTACAAGGTTTTAAACCAGAGGAAATCTCAATTCAAGTTAAAGGTAGAGATTTAGTTGTTCATGGTGAAACAAAGTCTGAAATCAGCAGTGATCATGGAGCAAGTTTCCACCACAAGCAGTTTACCAGAAATATATCTTTACCAGATGATGTTGATCCTTCTCACTTAAGTTCTCGTTATACTAAAGACTCGAAGTTAACTATTGAAGCTCAGCGAAGTTTGCCTCAGGCTCCACTTAAACTCCAAATCGAAAAGGAAGAATAAAAAGCCATACGAATCATTTTCTACTTATACTTATGTGAACTTTTTTAACATAGAAATGTTTTTTTAATTATTCTTGTATAGATAGACCTTTTTGTAATTATGTTTCGTTTAAATATTTATTGAATATATTAATTTGAATATTTGTTGGACTTTTTCAATCTTTAGGAAAAGTTGAATATTTTGAGCATATTTGTCTCAGTAGAGGATTAAGCCAATAGATTTGTTCATACTTCTTATGATGCAAATCAGGGTTTAAAAAAACTTATTTAATATTTAAATGAATTTAAATGAGTTAAATACTCTCTGAATAAATTATTATAAAAGCATTTAATATCAAACGATTCTATGCTATGTTTGCATGTTTAAAAAAGTTATAAACAAAAGTTTATACTATTATTTTCAGCTACTTTTAAGTGGACCTGTAAAACATGTCAATATAAATTTTAAATTATACTATCAAATTAAAGTTAAAAGCTATTTGATTTAGTCTAAAAACTTATAACTTAGGTTTGACGAATTCTCTAAAGTTTTAAATTTAAAATATCATTTAATTTGATGCTTAAAATTCGATGCTTGAAATAAAGCTTGCATCGTGATATTTTAGAACGTTTTTAGAGACAGTCCATATTTTTCAGTTTGCTAATGCTGTTTCTTAAAAAAAAAAACCTCCCCAGCGAATTGCGCCAAACGCTGGCTAGTCCAACTAACATCTTTCCTTTACTTACAAAATATTAAACCTGCTAATACATCGCGCATAAATACATGTGTTATTGTCAACAGATGCATCAATGGGTGTAATAAATTGTCGTTTCTCTCGTTGTGTGAGGCGTGTTGTGTGAGGTCACCATAACTAGTAAACAACAAATGCATATACTCTACGAGAGAACTTAAAAGGTGATTGTAAAGATTCTTCGGCTTGATGCTGGCTCATGCCAAATAAACTCTAAACGTATGTTTATACTTATGTCAAATAAGAGTGGTTTAAAATGGGTAGATATTCAAACTAATTCTAGACTTTCGTCAACGTTGTCAACATTTAAATATACTTCATCTAAGTCATTAATTTTATCTAATTCCATATCAGATGAATTTTCTTTATAACAGCAATATAAAGTCAAACTTTTAAACTTTTCTGGTAAGCACAAGCGTTTCTTTCCTTTTAATCTTTTAGTTAATGAAGTTTAACTAATTATAGAACAGAGAAGTATGTACAGTTTGAGTAAAGGTGTTCACGACCAAATTTATAAATTCTATGTTGAGGTTAAGCTCGTTCTTTTCCCATTAAACCAAGCGGAATTGGAGAGTTAATGATGGATTTGCCAGCACATGTTAATACTTTGTGAATGGAAGCTGCGGTCTTGAACTAATCTTTCTTATTTGTATCATTGTAGTTTTTACCAATTTTGAAAACATTGCACAATTTGCCTCAAATTCCTCCTTTTTTTTTCTTTTTTTTTTGTTTATATATATATATATATATATATATATATATATATATATATATATATATATATATATATATATATATATATATATATATATATATATATATATTTCGCCGTTGAAATATTGCCACATTGCCAAAATGTATAAACAAATATTTACATGGCCGAGGCAAAATAAGACGAAAGTAGCCTTATCAGGGCCGTGTACAGGGTTTGGGAGCCCTTAGCATCCTATATTTTGGGGGCTCAACCTCTCCGCCTCAAAAAATATTGTTTGATTATATTATAAGTATATAAGTATAATTGAGTAGTCCAGCTTTTGTTTCTTCAATTCTCAATCATGAAACTCTTTAATCACATCATGAAAGTCAAGGTTTTGTGCGAATAGACGACACTCGTTACTCAAAATGGCATTTTGTTCGCTTTTGTCCCAATGTTGTGCGCAAAAAATTCGTGATAAGCTTCAATTTACTGAATGAACGCTAGCTTGAGGCTCCATTTCTGAAGAATTTCCGAAGCTTCATTTTAGAGATTTTGTTTAATAAGTTGAATGGAGCAAGGTGTTTCTTTCCAAAGCTTGCAGGTTTGAATTGGTTTCATGTGAAGCAATGTTTTAGTCAGCTCTTTATCATTCACGTCAATGGGAGAGGGACTTTTGATCTCTGTTTCAGAGTGTTTTTGATATTCCCACAAAAAAGAGAATATAGAAAAGATTTCTTGAATGACTGTAAAACAAGCAATGAGTCTACCAATCACAAAATCAAGAGTGTGATAAAAAACCTTTTTCCGAAATCTTGCCTCCTATCTTGATTCTATTACTGTTAACTCCATGATATGTTCATCACCTTCAATTTGCTTCCCAGCAAAACCTTCGCGCATCGTTCTGTTTTTTTCAGAGCACCTCTATATTCTCAGTTTTTGTTTAGGCGTAAGATTCAAGCTCTGAACTTCTTCTAAAGATTCAATCATTGAACTCAATCATTGAAAATAAGAGAAAGGGCGAATGCTGTCAAGTTTCTCAGCCTATCGTGTTCCAGATTGTCAATGCAAAAAAACACAATGGAACCTTTTTTGAAATATTTTCCAGTATTGTGGACCAGCAGAGAATATTGTATACACGATTTATACATTGCCCAGAGATGGGGTTTGAACCAGAGATCCTTTGTTTCTGAAGCAAGTGAGCTACTAGTGCGTTACGGCTGCTCTGGCTTAATTTCACATGGTACAAAATGTCTTGCATCATCTTAGCTGGTGTTCTTAATGTTTTAAAATCTTCATCGCCTTCTTCTAAACAGATATCTATCAAAATTTCCATCTGGCTTTTCAGCACATGAACGTCTGTTTGCTTTTGTTAAGGTTTCAATACTCAAATTTTCTTTATTTAAAGGAAAAATAAAGATTTTGGTCATGCTGCAAAATATTTATTTTAAAAACGCAGAGTTTTCGATTAAACCTATGGCTTAAAAGTCTATGAACTCTTTGAATTCTTTTCGGTGAAATACTTTCATCTCTATTACTTTTAATCTATGGTGTCGTCATCGTTTTCTGCATTAATGTGTAGTTTCTTAGAAAATATCTCTGCACTTTCAATTAAATCATTCATGGCATCTGTATTGTTACTGATATTTTGTAGATTCTCAGCGGTGCTTTCAATTACAATTAATACTGTCAATGACATTAAAGTTTGGACTTTCTAAAATTTCTGTTAATATTTTTATCTTCTCAATGATATTCTTCATGAAGAAAAAAGTAATAATAAAATCAAAAGTTGTTACTTTTTTTAGAAGTCCTATTGCCTTAGTTTTCGTGTTAGTATCAAAAATCTTACTATTTGATATGCTCTGAAGAAAATTAATAAACTTCTCTAAACACTGATTTAGTGGCTTGATAGACTTTGCTCGTGCGGTCCGTCTTGTTCTAGACAGGTTTACAAGCTTTATTAAATTGCCAATATCTTCAAGTTTTTCCTTTAAATGACTTAATCTTTTTGTGCTTGATGTGAAAAAACATGCTGTTCGAGGACATTAAACAGTTCTCGTATTAAAGTATTAACATTGCAGGTATTTTCAAGAGCAGTGTTTGTTCTGTGGTCTTGACAAGGTATGTAGGGCACATTAGGGCCAACTTTTTCTGTTATATACTTTTGTACTCCCTTAAATTGTCTAGACATAGAATTCACATAGTCATACGAGTGAAAGGTTATCTTTAATGTGTAATGTCTTTATATAAAGAAGATAAAATTAGCTCAGCCATCCCTTTTCCAGTCTTACCAGTACATTCAACTGATTTCAAAAGCCTTTCCCAAATCTCACCGTTTTCACTGGCTGTTCTCACAACTATACTCATTATGTCCTTCTGTATAAAATATCGGGAGTAGTGTCATCAATGATCTGGTTCTTCAATTCAGTTGCAATTAAACTAATCATTTTATATTGAGATGATGGATTCGTGTATGTGACTCTATATGGAAGAAGGGCTTTATCATCAATCCAGGCTTTTAATGTGGGATTGTGGCGAGAGATGAGATTTGCTAATGCAAAGTTACCTTGGTGAGCATTGTCAGATTCTCTAAGCGCCAGTCCTTGGCTTCCTAAAGCCTTGCATGTATTGATAAGAATTTTGACAGTTTTTATATTCTTTACCTTTACTTTCTGCTTTTCTATCAGAGCATGTCTCTTGGATTTATCAATAAGGTAATCTATATGTCTCTATTTTCATAAGAAAGTGACAATACTCACTTAATGCAACTTTATGTGTTTGAGACGCAAAGTGTGTCTGAAGCTTCGCAAGATTATTTTCCGATAACTTTTCATCTTGGACTAAGATCTTACCCCAACATTTATCCAAACATCTTCAGTTTTTCTCTTCTTTCCAACACCCTTGGCGAAAAGGCACCAGAAAAAACAAAATGTGGCATCCTTCTGGGTACTGCATTCTTAATGTTCAAACTCTTTTAACCACAGGGGATTAAATCTATATTTACCGTCACTTGGAAAACTAGCAAGTTTTAGTTGGCGTGGCCCTAACTGGAGTAAATACGATTTTTGATTGTCTGTAATTGTATGTGAACGTAAACCATGGCTTTTCAATGCTGATGAATCTGATTTGTCAACTATAATATTTTGAGCGTTGATATCAATTTTTCTTATAAAAGCGTTTCTCATTTTCAAAACATTTTTTGACATTTTCACTACATTACTTGTTGGATTAACAATTTCAATTGAAGCAAATTTTTCATTTACTAATTCTTTTTTAGAAAATTTTGTTATAAATGTGTCTTTGTAATCTTTAAAGTTATCAATTAAAACACCCAAGTTCCTTATGAGCAAAGACCAATTTGTTGTTTCATTGCTTACTTCAGTAGTATCCAAATTATTAATATTAGTGTCATACTTTTCTTCTCGGCCAGGAAACTGGGGTAATTTTAAGTTTTAAAATTAGAGGTAAGTTCTGATTCAAAACGTAATTCTGAAAATTTCTCTGCTTATTCCGAGACAACAATATATCCTGGGTTTTCCCCTTTTGCGTTCTTATCTTGAACTTCTGAACTTGCGTTTTCTTCAAATTTTTTATCAGAAGATGCTGCTTCTTCCACTATGGATATACCACATGTTGAAGTTGATGTTTCAATTGTTATTATTTCTTCTAACTTTGTATGTTTGCTACTTTGTATTTTATCATCACTTCGACATCGT